CACCCACTCAACATCCAACCTCAAAAGCTCACTCAGAAGCAATTAGCCCAGTGGACTAGTGGACCATGTGACCGTCAGTCTCCACAACCCTGAAACCTACTTGATACCCGGCTACCACAACCAACTGCTTGGAAAAGGATCGCAGTAGAAGGTTCTGAATAGAGTGGCAGAAACTGTGGGACAGAACTCAAAATCATAAACATAACAAAGCTTATTGGTCAGAATGAGGCTGATGGAGCGCAGAGACTATGGCTGCCGGTCACACTTCAAGTCTGGACTTGAACACACCCCTATGGTGCAATTTTCAGCCAGGTAATTGATTAGTATATAGGGGAGACAACAACATTAGTGAGGTATGCACACTATTGTTGTTGTTGTTGTTGTTAAGTGCCGTCGACTGAGAGCTGACCCATAGCAATCCTATATAGGGTTTCTGAGGAGTGGCTGATGATTTGAACCACTGACCTTGCAGTTCAAACTGACTTTGTGGTCCAGTGCATTATCCCACAGCGCCATACCATAGACTCATCAACTATTTGAGATCAGAGGGGGCACATTTACCCAAGGACAAAATTCCAGTACACTGGAAAAGGGGGAACAGAAACAAGAATCCTAGGGAGGAAGCAAGCGGCATAAGTAAGGCCAGAATGAGAGGATTGGAATCATGGAGAAGAAATGAAGTGCGTAGTTTGTTCATTGTAAAACCAATGATCTGCTCTGTAAACCTTCATTCAATTCACAATAAAAAGTTTTGTGTTTTTTTTTTTTAAAAGATCATTAAGAACTGCAGAAGGACCCCCAGAGCTTCTGTGGGGCCGAAGCCCACCGCCTCATTCTGGTTTCTTCAAGTTCAGTGCCTGGGGGCAGAAAGATGAGCTGAATTTCAACTGTGTTTTTCAAAGTGGAGACTGAAGAAAGGCCACAACATGACTGGAGGAAAATGCTTAGAAAGAGAAGAAACAAGTGCTAGGAGGGAAAAAATATATCACCTGTCGGACAGAATCCTGCACTGGCTTGTCTATGATGCCAAGAGGTGGAGTAAGGTCCCCGGTGTCAGAGTCACATGTTATCCTCGTGGATGGGGTCAGGAACCAGCCAATGACTGGCCGTCACTGGACATATTCTCACAGGCCACTAGACACAGCATGTGGGAAACCACTGAGCCTTTTCCTCAGGCACTTAAAAATAGGAAATGCCAGTAGGGACACACGGACAAAGTACAGACCACGCCACCTTAAAATAACACTCTGAAGAGGAGGCCTGGCTGGAACTCCCCTTTTCATGGCCTCATAAAACTCAGATTTGTTGACCTTCCGAGATACCTCTTCATTGTTTCTGGTAGATAACTGAAAAAAGCAAGCTCCTGTTTCCGTATCAGTTCAGAGAGTGTGTGCAGATTGGCTGGACTGTGGGCAGCAGTGGAAAGGAAGAAGCAGGGGGGTACTGGAAAGACTTGTGAGCCACAGCATGAAGAGCAGTATCCCACCCACCCACATGGCAGGAAGAAAGCCGGGACCTAGCACCTACCCTCCAGCCCTGCCCTCCACCTTGGGGGATTTCCTCTCTGACCGATAAGTCTTACCACCTCAATAGGGCCTTACAAGAGTTATCTCCAGTTGACAAAAGATTATTGCCCTTGTTGGCTGGAGTTTCCTGACTCAAGTGCTTGGTGGCATCTGTAAAGCCATAAAAATATGCCTTCTTTTTTTTTTTTCCTTGCAAGATTCCTTTGGCCCAAATCATTGATGTCATCCTCTCTACCTAGAAAGATTGCTTCCTTCTCTGCCTGTGAAATCAAAACTCACCCCAGAAACCATCCTCTTCTCTCCCCAGGACCCTCGCCACTTCTCTCCCCAGGACCCTCGCCACTTCTCTCCCCAGGACCCTTGCCACTTCTCTTTACCTGAAAAGAGTTTAGTCTCCGACACCTCCTTCCCCCGACACCAGACTTCGACCTCTATGAACACAGCACATGTTATTACGACTTTCGTTTCTCCACTGTGTTCTAGCACCAGGCTTCATAAAGGAGCCCTGGTGTCACAAAGGTGAAGCCCCGGGCTGCGAACCAAAAGACTGGTAGTTACAACTCGGTCAGTGGTTCCATGGGAGAAAGACCTCGTGATCAGCTCCCATAAAGATTGCTGTTGTTGTTAAGTGCCGTTGAGTCGGTTCCGACCCATAAACTGGGTTTCCAAGGCTGTAAATCTTTAAGGGAGCAGAAAGCCTCATGTTTCTCCTGCGGAACAGCTGGTAGTTTCGAACTGCTGACCTTGTGGTTTGCAACCCGATTCGTAACCACTACGCTACCAGTGGTGATCGGCTCCCATAAAGATTACAACCAAGAAAACCCTACGGACCTGTTCTACTTTGTCACATGGGGTCACTATGAGTCGAAAATCAACTCAACAGCACTCAATGACAACCATAAAGGTTTACTGTCCTTGGTATGAAACTTTGTCCTCAGGTCTTAGATAACCCAGAGCTAAGGAGAAATCCACTGTAGGATAAGAACTGGACCACAAGGTCAGTTTGAAACATAAGGTCGGCGGTTCAAACTCGCCAGCCACTCCTCAGAAACTCTACAGTGTCACTATGAGTCCGAAGCAACTGGACAGCACTTTTAACAACAAGTGGTTGTCTAAAATCAACACCCTTAGTGAAAACACTTTGCTTCTATATTTTCTTACTGAGAACTCAAAACAGGACCATCGACATGAAAATGCAAAGTATTTTCATCTGTAGGCAAATGCTTTTTTGTTGTTGTTTGAAATGAATGCCCTTGCAAACACAGGCAGACATAGATCTAATGCTAGAAATGGTTTGGAAAGAAAACACGTATCTTTTTAAAGGAAATCTAATCAATTGACTAAGGTGCTCTGGTAGCGTAGTGGCTACGAATCGGGTTGTGAACCGCAAGGTCAGCAGTTCAAAACTACCAGCTGCTCCATGGGAGAAAGATGAGGCGTTCTGCTCCCGTAAAGATTAACAGCCTTGGAAACCCTGTGCAGGGTCGCTATGAGTCGGAACCGACTCCACGGCACATAACAACAACAACAACAATCATTGACTATGACCTAGACCAGTACTGCCTCTTTTTCTGGGTGCAGCTATTGTTCCTTTCATTGTGAAGCATTTTCATTTTCCTACTCTGGTAGATTTCTGCTTTATAAGGTTCTGGCTTTTGCAGGTTTTATTGTACTTTCTAGATGCTCTTTTTGCCGCCTCTTTTGCAAAATCAGTCCCCTCTAAGCACTTCCCAAACCTTGCTCCTTGTGTGACCATTAGCAACATCAGAGTATTGTCAAAGCAATTTCTAATTTTGGAATTGATAGACCAAGTTGGGAACCGTAGCAGTAATGAAGCACACACAACTCCCCATAACCTGCCTCTATGGGGGATAATACGGCAACTCAGCTGCTAACTACTCCACCTCTCAAAATTCATAGGTTTCCATTGGGGAGGCTAGGCGAAAATGAAATAAGCAGAGCATTCCAACATTATTTGATTGGAACGGACCAGTGCAGACATTTCCTGTTTAGGTACCAATTAAAGTGGTTTTACGGGAAATAGCACTTGTTGAAAATTCTCTGAAAAATAAACTTGTTTTGGCAGTATTTACTGTTAATCTTACATCATAATGGGTCGCTTTTTTTGTTTTGGGCAAATATGTACACATGTATGTAGTTTTTGTAAGAGTCTTGGGAGATACATTTTTATGTCATTCAGGAAAAAAGACAGACTCATTATGTGTGGTCCGGTAGGTTTTTCTTAGGTGGTTAGCTGTTCACTTCTTCCCTGATCCTTTAGTTCATATAAAATAGCAACTTGTTCAACCTGTTGGACAGATTAAGCAACACCTCAAGTGTCTAAAGAGAAAAATTCCATTTGTTTTCTCTCCCCTGCCTTCTTGCTCCTCAACTATTCTAAGAAATTCACAAAATTACCTATGAAAGAGAATCAATCTTCTTTAGACTTTTCTGCTCCACCTACAGTTCATCTTCATTCTTTCCAACAGGGGTTTATTTAATCCCAGACTCATTTCCCCTCTCTTTCTAGCCACATACAATTCTCCAAGTGCATTTCCTAAGGTTCTGGGCCTTGCTGGCTGGCGGGAGTAACCCAAGTCAATTTTAACACAGCAGGTAAATCTAAAACTTTTGAAACCAAGAAAACCACCAGCATTCGCCTTCCCTAGGAGGAACTTTCAAGGGTAAATTATTTTGATAGAATTTGTTGTGCAGGGTTTGTTGCACCATAGCTGCCCTCCAGGAATAGTGAAAACAGTAACTGACTAGCTGGCGTTATTTTTTTAATTCAAAAACGTGCAAGCATGAACTTAGAGGCATGGCCCTAAGACTGAGGGAAGTGTATGTTTGCAAACACACACACACACACAATGTGTTGGTTAAAATCGGGTACTTGGTACACGTACTGAGCGATCTGGCAAGGCAATCAATCTGTTCTGAGAGAACTCGGGCAACAAGTGTCTGGAAAGTAACTCGGTTTCAGATATCCCTACAACTTGGCTTGCTGAGCCCACTCACCAGCCATGCGTGACGGCTCCAGAGCAGTCAGGGGAACCAGGAGATCTGGATGGGAATCTGGCCGACAAAGGGGCAAACCCTCCAGAACTGACTTGCCTCTCCCTAGGGCTGCAGTTGGCTCTGGGTGAGTTCCAGGTGCACGGGGTGCACAGAAGGGCAGGGTGCATTGGGAGACACCCCTGAGGAGCATCGCCAAAGTCAATGGGTGCAGCGGGATGAACCCCTGTAGGGTCCAAGCCATTGAGTGATCGACGTCATTGGGAGCTGGGCTCTGTTTCTGGCTCGGCTCCTAACTTGAAGCCAAATAGCAAAAATAGTTCTTACTCTTAACATCGTCAAAGTGTTTCGGAGAACTGGTTATTCATGGTGGAAGTAAAACCTTGGGAGGGGAGCAAGGAAGAGCAAAGAGATCTCATAGAAAAAATAAGTACCAGCAGTTTTTCTGAATAAACTTACAACTTCAAAACCCTTTTGTGAGGAGAGGAGTGTCTCGTTTTCCGAAAGAGAAACTGAGGGAAGCAAAGGTACGCAGTTCCTGTTAGAGGCGATGAATTGGCGCCCCAGGGACGCAGAAGGTGGGAAAGAGATCACCCGCGGAGAACCCTTGCTTTGGCACGGTTACCCGAAGTGGACACTTGTCTGCGACTTTTCACGTTTCTCCCTCGCTTATTTTAGCGCTTAAAGGTCTGGAGAATAAAAGGCATCACTAAAACCTGAGATCGAGTGAGGCTTCCAGAAAAACCCGTGGCTGGAGGTTGGGTCCCGTCAACCTCACCCTTCTGCGCTCCAACACCCGCCAGGCGCCCGTTCTCTCCTCCCACGGCCCAGCTGCTGCACTGCCCCGGGGCGCCTCCGTCGTCGCTCCCCAGGTCCCCGGCTCGGGCTTCTCCGGAGGCAGGGAAGCCAGATGTCTCCCGGCCCCTGGCCAGTCCTTCCCCTGAGTGTCAGAGAAGGTGCGCGCGGAGAGCTAGCAATCCCGGGAGGAGCCTGCTGGGGACTAGTTAGAGCGGCCTCCCTCTTACCTGCAGCGGGATGAGCAGCGCGCCGAGCGCCAGCCGCGCCAG